AGGAGGAGGAGGGAGGAGGAGGAGGAGGGAGGAGGAGGGGGAGGGGAGGAGGAGGGGAGGAGGAGGAGGAGGAGGGAGGAGGAGGAGGAGGAGGAGGAGGAGGAGGAGGAGGAGAGAAAAAGAAGGGAAACGACCCGAAGCAGCAAGGTCCCGACGGCGCGCGATGTGCACCGTAGGAACACGGACTACACCCGGGCTGTCAAAGCACAGAGCTTTTTGCAGCCCACAAATTGCTCGGGCGAAGGGCGGGGTTGCCGCACAGGTGCTCCGCACGTGCGACGGACTGGCATGCCTGCTGGGCGCCTGCGGCCCAGATGTGGGCTTGAATTGAGCGCGGGGGTGTGAAGGAAATGACCACGGCCGCACTCCCCCTTCGCACGGGCCGTGGTGTCAGAAGACGTAGGCGAATGCTTGCGTTCCCTCGGCGGCGCTCGTGCCCCAGCCCCAGAAGCGTTGAGCCCTCCTCCTTGCCGTCGTAAGATTCTTCTTCTCAGTATGATTATCAGTTGTATTATTAGTCTGATTACCTTTATGAGTCGTATTGATTTTACTACTCATCATTACTACTGCTATTAAGCATACTCTTATTAGTAGTACCATCCTGGTGTATGTTTCACCATTATTTTCAACATTATACTGATGGGAGGCCGACATCGAAAAGCTTCAGGAGAGCACTAGATCGGACCAAGCAGCCATCCAAATCAGATGGGGCAAGACGGGCAAATATCTCGGGTATTATATCGGCCCAGGGAAGCAGAACAAATCATGGGACAAGCCGCTTGACAAGTACACCAGTCGTCTGGGTGATTGGCGCCGGAGCGAGCTCGGCCTGAACATGGCGCTCGTTGCCTACTATGTTTAAGTCTTACCAGCGATCTTGTTTATTGCCCAGTTTGAGGCCCCGCTTCAGGAGGTCATCGACAGGGAACGGGTTGCTGTTCGGCGAGTGGCGCCTGGACTAGGTTGTTGGTGTCCTTCAGCTGACTTGCACCATGGACTGGATCTCGGGCTTGCTGCGCACCTACGCCCGCTTGAGATCTCTTGCCGCGCTTCGATGCTCCGCATGCACGCGTGGGAGTCTCGACAGGACGGCGGCATTGACTGGAAGGGAATGGCTGCTGAGCTCGTCGCGGCGAGAGGCCGCGCCGATCGAGTGATGAGAGTAGCTCGTTTTTCTGTGCGACGTGATCGACACATCCCCACGACGGTGCTGGCGGAGGTCGACCAGTAGGCCCGGAGCGGCGTGCACATCCACGCAGCAAGGGCCGCGCTTGGCGGCGTCGCCATCGGACCGCTCACGGAGCAGAAGGACAGACATTCAGAAAGGGCATTCAGAGATGGTTCACTGGCCGCCTCCTTGCTCGCGACGGCTACTGCGTGGAGCGACGTCTCCGGGCGCGCCTGGCCAGGTGGAGTCTGCCAGAATTGCCCGGCCGTGCGGCCCGGCGGGTGGCGCAGCATCTACGGCGCCTCAGACAACTGGTTCCGCCCTTGATACGGGCCGCTATGATCAGCACCATCTTCAACCGATGGACAACGAACCGTCGAATGCGGTCTCTCCGGGAGGGCCGCCGGGTCTGCGTGCTCGGGTGCTCCTGTACAGCGGACGACTCCGTGGAGCACTACATGCTCTGCCCCGTGGGCCAGACATGGTCCCGAAGACGCCTGGGATGGGCTCTGACAGAGCAGCTTTTGACGCAGGGAATGCTGGCATCGGTCATGACAGACAAGCAGTTGCAACAACAGGCGGTGACCAACTACGTTTTGTACCGCGCGGTGAACGATATGCGTAGGCGTCAGATACAGCCGAGTGCGGAACGCCGAGAGACCGCCAACGCGGTCATGGACCAGCTCTTGCACGAAGCCACCAGAGACGACGCTCGACTTCGGCGAGTTTGCCAACCACACCAGGACAGGGGCGCCGTTCGACGCCATGCTGGGGGAGACGCGGGACGCCGACGCGTGCAGCCGCGCGTGGCACGGACGACGTCGTGAACGACACCTTCAACGACAGGTTCCCCATCCTCGAACACGAGACGCCGTTGCAGGTGAGGGCTCCTGTCTCCTCCGTTTCTCGTCCTCCCTCCTCGCCCTCGCTCCTCTCCCAGCGCGTCCCGGCCGCGCGGCAGATATTCGACCGACCAAAGGCCGCGGCGTGCTACATTTCCGCGGCTGGCAGCCAAGCGGCGCCAGTCACATGCCTCCCCCTGGGGGATCCGCGGGGGGGGCAGGGGACCGCATCTTTCCTTCGCGGGGACGGTCCTTTGTCATCACCTGGTCTGCGGCCCCCCACGAGTGGGCGCCCGAGGCAACATGTTGTTCTTCCCTATTTGATCCGTGTTGCACTTTCTTCGGGCCGGCCGGAGGGCCCGTGAGTTGGCCGAGACGCCCGTCGAGGGAGATGCTCCTCTCCGCCCTCCGTCCCCCTCCCCCTTTGTCTTCCGTTTCGGGTGGCCGATTCTGCAGGCTGCGCCGGCTGGGCGGCGATGCGGGCGGTTTCGCCCACAATCGAGGATACGACGCTGCATGGGGTCGTATCTTCCCGGTCAGGGGACTGGCTGGAGCCGTGGGCAGGCCCGAATTTCCCAGCACATGTTGGGTCGATATCTCTTGGGCCTCGCCAAAGGACAGTGCGGTCTGTCTCGACTCTTCCTCCTCCTCCCCCCTCCTCCACATTCTTGCCCATCATGGCTGGGAGGAGCGCTCGTTTCACGGACGCTGCTGGCGATGGCGTCGTTTTTTTGGCGCGATTGATTCCTCATCTTCCTCCTCCTCCTCCTCCTCCTCATGCATGTTCCGTCGTAGGGTGAGCTGCTCCTCACGTATTTTCGACACTGGGTCCCACGTTCGCTATTTGTCGACCTGGGCTTGCACGGCAAGCGACGGTCGCCCATGCAGGCGCCCGGCCTCTCTGGTCGGCCGCTACGTTTGGCCTCGGCCCCGTCGCCATACCTCAAAGAACTTGTCTTGCCTTGTCATGGGTGTCCTCCGACCCTTTTTACTGTTTATGCTCGTAGCGCGCTGGGCAGTTCGATTCGCGGAGCCTCCTGGCTGCGAGCGTGTCGCCGCCTTGTCCGCCATTTGTTTCAACCAGCCGGCTCTCCCATCCTCCGTTTACCGTGCTAGTTTTTCCCGTGAGGGCAAATTGTGCGAGTACCGCTGGAGGTATCCTAGAAAGGTAGGTGTACGCACGCGCGGGTTTTCGGAGCATGGATATTCCGTTCACTCTTCCTGTCTCTCGCCTTTCTCCCCTCCCCTCCTATTCCCTCTTGCTTTGCACGGGAACTGCTGCGTGGCACCTCTGGTTCCAGTTGTGGGTGCATTGATTCTTTGATGTTGACCTCATGTATTGCGGCTGCATAGGCCATGGGATTGCATGAGCCACGATTGGACGTCGCAGGCCGTGAGTGGGTGCTTTACGATATGTCGTGTGTTTCCCTTCTCCCCTCGCCTCTTTCCTCCGCCTTTCCCTGTTCCGCTCCTTCTCTTCCGCGCTTTAGTTTTCGTCTCGCCTGGGAGGAACGGGCGATAAAGGTCCGGCGGCAAGACAGCTTGCCGACTCCCCGCTCTTATGTCAAGCATCCGGCATCAGTTCATGAAACCATTGTTGCTTTGACAAAATCAACATTAATAGTACGATTACTTATGCTCTTAATACTACTATTATTTTTCTTCGGGGCCACTGCCTCCAGGCCGTGCCCTGATGGGCATGGGCAGGCTCCCTTCAGGAGCGCGCACGACTCCGACATTCGCGTTGCTTCGCTTCGTTTCCTCTTCTTCTTCGTCCTCGTCCACATCCTCCTTCGACCTTCCCTTGTGGAGCCGATGCACTTTCTGCTCCCCGTGTTCCTCCGATGCCTCCCGAGGTCCGCGGAGGTCTCCAGGGGTCCACGGAGGCCTCCAGAGGTTTCTGGAGGCTTCCCCCTCAAAAGAACCGAAACCGCGCGACAGCCTCGATCCTCGACGCTCCTCCGCACCCCAGTCACGCTGGCCTGAGCGCAGCCGCCCCGCAAGGAGCCAGCCGCGGCGAGGACGAAACGCGCCCGCACCAAGCGGCCTCGGCGAAAGGACCCTGGGCATGGTGGGACGTTGGAGGGAAGAGCGGATGCAGAGGCAGAGGGTGGGGCGGGGGGGAAAGGAAGGGGAAGGGGGAGAGGGGGGAAGGTAGCGAGGACGAGGACAAGGAGGAGGGGGGTGTGGGGCGGACGCTTCCTCCTCCTGATCCTCGCCCTCGTCCTCTTCCTTCTCCTCATCCTATCCGCTGTCCTCCCCCCCAGAGCGGACGCTGTCTGGTCGGCGCCCGCACTCCTTCCCCTCCAGTCTCCTCCTCCGCTCTCCATCGTTTTCTTCCTCCTGCTCCTCCCCCCCGCTCTCCATATCCCTCACTTAGCTCTCCTCCAAATCATGCTCAACATCCTCCTCGTCCTCCTCTTGTTTCTCCTCCTCCCCCTCCTCCGCCTCCTCCTCCTCGCCCTCCTCCTCCCTACTCGTCGTCGTCGTCCTCCTCCATCCCACTTCCAAATAAATAACCTCTCCCCGTCGCGCCACGAGACGTGTCTGTAGAGCGGGCCAGGCGGTACGCCTGAGACGTCGTCGCCGTAATTTGCAGCTTCCATTGCTACAAGGATGGGGTCGGTCGTCTTGAACATGGGGCTCTCGCTTGACGCCACGCACGTCCGTTCTTCTAGCAACATGCAGGGCGGCTTGCTTTCGAAAAACAAGTGTCGTCTTAGCGCTGCGCAGATTCGCTCTTAATTTTGTACGAGCATCTACGGCTTGACAGCGAGCTCTTCGTGGTTGTTTCAAAGAATATGGCCAGGGCTGCAACAAATCGCAACAGTTGCACGAATGGAGGGCAGCTCAAATTCGAATTTGGACTTTCGCTTGAGACGTCCTCACACGTAGCGGCCAGATGTGTACGGTCAAGAGTTCTGGCTTAACAGGAATTCTGGCTTAGCGTGTCGCTCCGCCAGTTGTGGCCCACCACGCTTGGGCACGACACGCTATCCATTTCTCAGTCTCCAGCCGTCAACGTCCCGAACCTTTCCCGGCCTCCAGCCCCACGGAGCGGAGCGACACGCTATCCGCTCGCAGGGCGTAGCATGTCGCCGGGGCCGCCGCCGCGACACGCTAAGCAAAAGTTCCCGACCCAGCTTCGTGCGACTGCTACATAGATGGTGACCGACTCCGTGTCACAACAGGGCTCTCGTTGGACATGCAGCATGCCTGGGCCGCTCGTGCCGGGTGGCCCCTCCTTCGCCGGAGTGGCCTCGCGGGTGAGCGGCTTTCGAGGGGGACAGCCGGGCCGCCGATTACCCGTCGGTCTCGGGGTCGATTACCCCTCCTCCTCCTCCTCCACCTCCTCCTCCTCCTCGTCCTCCTCCTCCTCCTCCTCCTCCTCCTCCTCCTCTTCCTCCTCCTCCTCCTCCTCCTCCTCCTCCTCCTCCTCCTCCTCCTCCTCCTCCTCCTCCTCCTCCTCCTCCTCCTCCCCCGCTCGAGAGAGAGAGAGAGAGAAGAATCGGGGCTCAAGAGACGGGGGTCAATGCAAACGGGGGTCGGTCAGAGCGCCAGATCTTGCAGGATCCTGCAGGGCCAGGAGCGCACTGTCCCGGGCTTGGGCGCAGAATCCTGCAGGATCGCGCAGGATCTTGCAGGATCTTGCAAGGCCTGGCTGACCCAGGTCTGGATTGACCCGGGCCAGAAGATCCCCAAAAGAGCGCCGCCCCCAGCCTGGTGACCTCGTGGACGACCTCGACGTCCTCATCGACGAGGAGGCGGAGGCAGAGGCAGAACCCCCGCGCGCATGCCGCCACAGGGTGCGGGCACACGGGTGGGGAGGAGGGAGGGGGGCGGGGAGCGCGGGGAGAGAAGGCATCCGGGTCAGGGGCGAAAGAGATATCAAGGGAGGAAAAACCGCCTGGACTCGACAATAGGCGTTTATTACACGGCCCTGGGCGTTTACTACACAGCCTTGCCCTGTTCGATTCCTTCTTTGGGTGCGTTTACTAAACGGCTTCGCATGTCGGGGTGATTCTCACGAGGGTGGATGTTCTGATCTCTAAGGAAAAGGGAGAGGGGGAGTCCAGGCCTCCAAAGTGGGATCCGAGTAGAGGATCGGAGGATCGCGCCCTCTCGCCGATGCATCGGCGATGCGGAGCGATCCTCCGACCCCATCCGTTCCGACCCTGTCTAAAAGGTTACTAAAGAGGGAGAGGGGGGGAAAGGATGATTGGGAGTCCGGGGGAGGCAAGGGGATTCTTTGTTGGCTTCGCTCAGGTATGCCCTGCATAATCTCGTCTGATGTCGGGGGACAGGGCAAGACGATGTTGGGTATTGACGCTTCGCTCATCCACACCAGGCACACTGGCACAAGAGAAGTGGAGCAGCATGTGGTAGAACCAAATGGGGCGCCCATGAATTCGAAGCTGGGCTCAGCACGAGCACCCCCATCAATGGCGAATGTAAGAACTTGTCGGAGATTGTTCGAGGCCTCTTGGAGCCATCTTGGAACTCTCTTCGGATCCTTTGGGGAGTTTGTAAAGCCCCCGTCTGGCTCCCTTGGGGCCTTGAGGGCCATTTCGAGCCTGAAGGCAATCGATCCAAAAGACAGGGTCCTTAGCTAGCCCCGCCCCCCTTCTGGAGACGGGCCTTCGCTCTTAAAGCCCGCGTGGAATTCCTTTGGAATGTTCGTGGGGGTTGCCGGGTCCATCTTGTAGACTTGATGGGCCCATCGAAGGGCCATCTTGAGTTACGATTGAGTTGTCCATCGGGAGCGAAAAGACAAGAAGTCAAAAATCATTCTGCGATGTTTTCGGCCTCTTGGGACCATCCTTGGGCGGCATCTTGGACACCTGGAGCCGTTGTAGCCATGGTGGGGAGGCGAGTTTGGTCAAACTTGGGCCATCCAGCGCAGCATTGGAGGCTGGGCAGTCTGGAGGCGTGTTGGAGCCATCCAGGACCACCTTTGACGATCTAATTGGTCGCGCCCCCCTCCAGAGCCAGGGGATGGCTTCCCCCAGTGCAGGCCACTTCTTCCCAGCGGCCCAAATCGTGGGGCCACGGTGCCCGTGGACCTGGCAGGGCCAAATATGGCCAAACAAGGCACGGCGGGCATCCAAGATGGCGCCCGAGGAGCTAAGTTGGCTCTAGATGCATCCCAGCTGCAGGGAGAAGGCCACGATATTTGCTCTGAAGTTAGCTCCGCAGCATCGCACGGACAATAATAAAGCTGTGACCCAGAGCAGTGGGGAGAGCATGCTGGGCTATTGGTGACCTATGTGTCTCGCTCGCTCGGCTTCCGGTGGGCCTCTGCAGCGGCCCGAAGCTGACCCAAGAGGGCCCCACAGGCCTCCAAGAGCACCCCAGGGGAGCCCCAACGGGACCCTAAGAGGGCAGCCCAAACCCCCGTACACGCCGGTCGTTGAAAGTACTTATTTCTGGATTCTGAATTCCCAGATCCCAATCTACTTCAAGCGCCTCCCTACTTCAAGAACCGATATGCTTTTGATGTGTCTTGTTATTGCCTGGGAGGGCCTGAGCCCAATCTACTTTATCCGTATTCCTACTTCATGGTTTCACCTACTCCTTCCGACCGACGTGTGCCATTTTGGCTCTCAAGTCCGTGGATCTCCCCCACCCCTGCCCTGCCCAGGGCCATGGCGGCTGCCTCGGTCACCGTCGTGCGCCCACTGCGCGGCCGTTGCCTCTTCGAGCGCGCCGCCGCAGCGCTCGAGGCGGGGCCGCGGCGGCCCCCCACGCTGCCGCGGGGCTGCGGCCGCGGCCGCGGGGCGCGGCTCCACGACGAGACACCCCTTTGTGCCGTCGGAGCATCTGTCGGAGCACCTCGGCGCCGAGGTTTTCCTGAAAATCGACTGCTGGCAGCGCCCAGGCTCCTTCAAGATACTCGGCATTGGGAGGACGGTCGGGCTGGCCGTGGCTGCCGGCGCCTGGCACGTGGTCACCTCCAGCGGTGGCAACGCGGGCCTGGCGGCCCACCCGGACAACCCCTCCGGCACCGACCGCCCACGAGTTTCCCCGGCAGCTCCCCCGAACTTCCCCGACAACGCATCCGAGCCTCCCAGACAGCACCCTCGCCAAGGCCCCTTCTGCCAACACTCCCTCCAACGGTCCCGCCAGCGCCCCCCGCCAGCGCCCCCCGCCACCGCCCAGCCAGCGACATGCGCAAAACAAGACGACGAAGAATAATATGAGGAACGAACTAAGAAGAAGAAGGAGAAGGATAATAATTAAAAGAAACAGAATATTCAGAATAAGAAGAAGAAGAAGAAGAAGGAGAAGAAGGAGAAGAAGAAGAAGTCGTGTTCGCTGGCGGGGCGTCGGGCCGCGGCGGCCCTTGGAATCGTCGGGCCCAGCGGGAGTTTGGCGGGAGGCACGGGGGTGGGGAAAGGCAGGCAGAGTACTCTAAGAGGTCCATGACTGAGTGGACGAGCGGGCTCCTCAGCTTTGCATTCTTCCCTCGGATTTCTGCCTGCCCCCCCCCGAGTTCGGCCCGGCACCAGGGCCCCACCCACTACGCACCCGTCTCATGCACGGGCTGCACCGATTCCTGAGAGCCCGTCGTGCTTTCCCTCGGCTTTGCACGTGCTATCACGCTGTGCTGAAACAAAACGAGTTTGGCATTGCTTGGTATTGATGCGCGTTGCTTGGAACTGCTTGGCATTGCGTGGCATTGATTGCAGTTGCTGTCCGTGGCTTGGCTTGTTTTGCATTGCTGGGCCGCAAGGTTCCAAGACCAAGACACCTGAGGAAGGCAGCAGGGAACCAAGGCCAAGGAGCCCAAGGAAGGCAACAAGGCACCCAAGACCAAGGAGCCCGAGGAAGGCAGCACGAAACCAGGACCAAGGAACCCGAGGACCCGAGCAAGGCAGCAAGGAACCAAGACCAGCGGATCCGAGGAAGTCACCAAGAGACCAAGACCAAGGAACCCGAGGAAGGCACCGAGGAACCACGACCAAGAAATTCGAGGAATGCCAGGGGACGCATCGCATAGGCATCGTCGTACCCACCGAATCTCCGCAAAACAAGCATCGACCCCTTAGGCAAGCCTGGTTGGTGACATGAGCGTATGTACAAAATGTGTATGTTAATGTTTTGCTATGGTTCTTCAGTTGGACATGTCATACTTACATTCTGTCTGTGTAGCGAACAAATTGGCTGGCCCGACGCTGATCCTCATGGCACATACGGCAAACCACCCTTCCCGCCCTCCTCGGGCTGATCAGGGCGACGGGGATTTCCACTGTGACCTCCATCCCTTGTCTGGCGATGGTACCATGCGGTAGTGTTTCCACGGGCCCGTTGTGTCTGATCTCCCGGGGCATTAGACTCAGCATTGCAAGCACGCGAGGACACCGATTACCAATTACATGAGACAGGCATCGCGTCCTGGTCCAAGGCGACCAGGACCCCCTGGCCAACCACGTCGTTATCTGTCCTGGAGCGCCGACGGCGGTCTAAGTAAGCAGGCATCGACCAGATCTCGAGTGGCCCATCCTGCTCCTACTCATCCGTTTTGTCTTCTATCCCCCTACTCCTGCCGCTGCTCCTTTTCGTCCCTTCTCCTTTCCCCCATCCTAGTCGACCCACCCACACCCATTCATCATGGGTTGCTTCTCCCTCCCTGGCCACTTATCTCCAAGACGAACAAAAAACTGCATAAACATACGCTGTTGGAGCTCCGCGCAGATTTCGTGGATCGGCGCTGGACCCCCCCTCCCAGGCGCGCGTAGCGCGCCAGGGGCGGCGCCAGCGGCGCTGTCAGGGGGCCCCAGCGCAGATCCAAGAAATCCGTGCGGAGCTCCGGACGTTTACCGTGGAGGCCCGACGACAAGAAGCCTTCCGCAAGAAACCCATCCCCGAGACCCCAGGACGTCCATTGATTTTTGGTGTGGGAACGTCACGCTTTCCATCGCAAAGCCATCGAAATGCAAGAAGCCCAGGGCACCCAGGAGGCCATCACTCCTGGGCCTCCTCTGAGCCATTTGATCATCTTCTCCCTCCCCTCTCCCCCTCCTCCCCCTCCTCCTCCTCCTCTTCCCCCTCTCCTCCTCTTCCTCCTCCTCCTCCTTCTCCTCCCCCCTCCCTCCCCTCCTCCTCCTCCTCCTCCTCCTCCTCCTCCTCCTCTTCCCTGGGCGACGCCAGGAGGGAGCGAGACCCACCGGGGAGACCGCGAACACGCTGAGGGGCATCGCCACCAGGCTAGCTGTGCAGGGGGGGGGGGCACGGGGATGATCGTGGTGGTGATAGTGATGGCGATGATTGTGACGATGGTGAGCATAGAAGAGGAACAAAACGCTATGAACATAAACTTTTGGCGCTCCGCGCGAATTTCTTGCATGTGCGCCGCACCCCCGGGGTGGCGCCGGAGGCGCCGCCAGGGGGGGCCAGCGCGGATCCAATAAATCCGCGCGGACCGCCAAAAGCTTATACTAATTGAGTTGTTTCTTGCTTTAGAACATCGGAGAAAACCAAACGGCTAAACCTAAACTTTCGACGGTCCGAGAGATTCTCGAATGGCCTTCGGCCCATCCCGCCACCGTGCCAGGGTTGCGGGCCAGAGTTATCAGGGATGTTTCTTGGGGTCTCTTCGGAGCGCTCTCGGGGGCCTCTTGGGTTAGTTTCGGGCCGCCTCTTGGGGGCCTTCAGGGAGCCTCTTGGGCGCTCCTCGGGGCCGAGGGCTCGACATGTCCGCTCGGGTCCCCCATCTGGGCCCCCTCTTGGAGCCGTCTTTGGAGCCTCTTGGGCCGTCTTGGGGGCTGTTTGGGGCCCTCCTGGGCCGTTTGGGGGCCCTCTTGGATGCTGTTTGCGCCGTCTTAGGGTGGTCTTGGTCAAGGGAAGAAAGATCACCCAGACCAGACAATTGGCGTTTGCTAAACGGCCTTGGGCGTTTACTAAACAGCCCTGCCCCGTTTGATTCCTTCTTTGGGCGCGTTTGCTAAACGGCTTCGCGTGTCGGGGTGGTTCTTATCGGGGTGCATTGTCGACCCTCTACTTGGGGGCCTCTGGGGCCGTCAAGGAGCGTCGGGAAGCCGAAAAGGCGAGAATGAAACAACAATCTTCAAACACCCATGGAAAATCAATGGTTTTAGCCTCTTGGGTGTGCTCTTAGAAGCCACTTGGGACGTCTTGGAGGCCTCTTGGGCCGTCTTGGGGCCGTCTTGGGCATCTTGGGCCAATCGTACGGCTCCTCGGGGCCCTCTTGGACTGTTTTGCTCGGACGTGTGCATTTGTTCTCGGCGGGGAGTATTAAGGAGCATCCTGGATTAAATATTCTTCAGGAGTGATGATTGAGGCTCAGAGGACTGGGCAAAGGACCCGTGGCCACGCCCACTCCGTGCCCAACGACACGGTGGCGGATGCGTATGCCGTTATCTGTTCCTCTAGAGCATTAGGGCGATGGCGAACGTGAAAAGTCTGAGCGCTTCGCGTGTCCCCGCCCCAGGCGACCGGTGTCTCGGTCGAGTTCTGTTCTTGCACGATGTAACGTCAAATTATTTTGCTCGGTGTGGTGTGGTGTCGTCTGGGCGCGTGCTGTCGAATTCGGTATGGTCGGGTGTCGTATCACGTGCGCCGACCCGGTGCCGTCGGTCATAATTGATGTGGGCAGCGTCGGCAATCGAAAGAAGTGCGCTCATTCCCACGACCCACCAAGCCACGCTCACTTAATCCGAAGGTTCCACTTTGCCCTCCAGTCCAAGTGGGGGGAAGTTCTGGAAGACTGAGTAAAAACACAATGGAACCCGTACACCCCCAACCCGAAATTGAGGATTTCGGTTTGGGGGGGTCTGCTTCGGACAAGTCTAGGACGAGGATAAATCCGTTCCAGAGCGTTCACGAACGCCCTCAGAGCGAATTTTTCCCCTCCTACCTGTCGTAAGTACTGGTCAGTAGTCAGGCTCATGCGGCTCATCCTCCCTCTCATCTTCCCCCCTACCCTTTCTCCATTCCTGTGCCCTTCATCGACCTGCACTCCCCTGCTGTGCGATCCACGCAATCATGTGAGCGATTCCGGAAACCTTGGAGCCTACAAATGTTGTCATCTCCTTGGGGGCGCCTTTCCTCCACGGGTCTTCTTTTTTTCCCAACCATCTTGTGGAGTTGTGTCCTCGTTTTGAGGAGGCAGCGCCACGCGTTCCTCCTCTCCTCCCCCTCTTCCTTCCTCCCATCCTTGCCTCTGCCTCCATTTCGGCACACCCATCACACGATTCGCGGCCCCATAGGGCCGAAGGCCCCAGTGGCAGGGTTCGCATGGTACCGCCGCCTCCATTTCGGCACACCCCTCACACGTTCGTGGCCCCATAGGGAGCTCCGCCGAAGGCCCCAGTGGCAGGGTTCGCATGGCACCGCCGCCTCCATTCCGGCACACCCCTCACACGTTTCGCGGCCCCATAGGAAGCTCCGCCGAAAGCGGTGTCCGCAATGAGGTACCAGCAATTGCATATGGTTGGGCCCTTCGCGAGGATGTTTTTTCTGCTCGCGTAGAACGTCTCGTGGCAGGCCTCGCTAAAAAGTCAACCCGAAACGGCGCGACGGAAACATTTGAGACTCCGTCGGGGGGCAAAGAGGAAGCATTTACGGGGACCGCTGTCGGGGGCGAAGACGGCCGACCAGCCCCATCTCCATCTCCAACGTGCCACCCCTACGTGCTCCCACCTCTGTGGGAGCAGCCCTCGCGCCCGCCCTCTCCGCTGGGAGAGTGGAAGTGGCTCCCCAAGCATAGAAATAGAGTGCGGAAGCGATGATTATCATCACCCGTGGGACCTCTGCAGAGACGCCCGCAGTCAGGACATGGGAGAAGCTCAACCTCGGATGTGTCACCATGGGTGTGTTGTAGACCTCACCGAGGGCCTGCCAGAGTCTGCCAAGGTCGTGAGCTAGAAGATGAAGTAGTGGGGTTTTCTCGTGGAGCCCTTCAGGCTCAAACGGAAAAAAACACATACAGCGGCACGGACAACTCGAATAGGATCGTACTCATCGACACTTCCATCGGCAGCGGCGCGAAACGCAGGACGAAGGACATGTTGCCACCACCGGAGGCGACGCTCAAGCAAGGTAGACGCAATTGAAGTGATCTGAGCCTGTTGGATGATCTCACTGTTCGATTATGTGTACAAGTGCGAAGGGGACCTCACATCGAACGTAAGCACAGGTTTTGCCATATTTTCAGTTTTCACAAATCGCCAACAAACAAATGTGCAACCTCAAGCGCATACAACGCAGCATATCGTACCAGGGAAGTCCACAAACGTATTCGCGGGCGCCGGCTGAAATGGCCCTTGAACGCTCGTGCCTGGAGACGTGCATCTGCCGCCGTGGCTACTTGCACTCGATGGCGTACCTCTTCTGAATAACTAACGTCAGCACAGAAACGAACGCCAAGATATCGAACAGATGCGGAAGCATGCATGGGCACAGGCCCCGAAGGAGACGACATGACCACCCCCCTGGACCTAGACTTAATGTGTTTCTGCTGCTGCTTACTCCCCGCCCCAGAGAAAACAATCCATATTTTTTTATCCACATTGACCTTCACATTACCTGCCGAGATTCCGTTTCGAAGGAAGTCCTGCACTATCTTGAAAGCCAGCAAATCGTCGATGAGGTCATTGTGTGTAAGGTCGATGCGATCACAATCGGCAAGAACCAAAATATCAAGATGACGAAGCTTCTGGAGAGAATGGTCGAAGACAACATCGACGCAAGCGATCTCGGGCTCCCATTGATGTTGTGCCAAGCCCCCTGGTAGCATGTCGTACACTGTTATGAAGAGCGCCGGGCCCTCGACGGACCCTTGACGAACACCGCGGGGGACCAAAAGTTTGCGTGCAGGCCGGTTCGTCTTGACGTCCCTGGCTATGTGGCACGTGCCATCGTGCAGGTTGCCATTGTCAGCAGCACGTCCTCGGTCGACGAAGTCGATCGCTTTTTCCAGATCGATCAGGGCAGCCACCAACATACCTAGTGCCACACGGCTGAAAGCCTTGGAACGTAAATGACAAATGCGATATAGTCGAAGTACCTCCCCCACCAATGCAACAGCATCCCGTGTAGCCCTCCCTTGTAGTGTTCCAAATTGGGTGGCCGAGATTTTTGGTGCTAAGGCACGCAGTGCGGGCGTGGCAGTCCCCATGTGCTCTATGAGGTTAATGGTACGGTACTGATCGCGTGCGTTACGGCCGTTTGGTTTGCGAAGGCTGACTGCTTCCCCATCCCTTAAACGTTACGCGGAACGCCCATGCGCCTGACAAGCTTGAAAAATTCCGTGGAGTGGTTTCAAAACAGCAGGGCTGCATAGTTTCCATATTTTGGCAACTGGTTCTTCAGGTGGGTCGTCGGGAGGCTGGGATGGGGACCACTTCAGAACAGTGATACTCTTATAGTTCGGCATGCGATCGATGGCCTTACCAATGTCCTCAGTAGTATGGCTTCCAATTATGTGCGTGCCTGGGGCAGGAGCTGTTTGGGGATCCGCCGGGCCATCCAGCGGGAGTAGCGTAGCTCCAAAGATATCTCCCAGTGCTTTCGCACGAACCTCCGTCTCCTCCTGGTGATCGAAGCACTCGAGACCAGCTTCTGGAGTATGTACAGTAGTCGCTGGGGCTGCAGCCTTGGGTGCCAGACGGCAGACAATGACATGGGTACGACGTGGATTGCCGATTGCCTCCGCTTCCGACGCAATCGCAGCAGTGCGTTGGCGGTGCTCAGTCCAAACCGCTCGGGCAGCCGCCCGTACGGCAATTTTGAACTGGGCAAAAACACCCGTAGAACCAAGGGGCCCAAGAATCCACCTCAGCGAGTTGTCGTAGGAGGAAATTGTTTGTTTTGAATCAGCTGGAGAGTCGACTCGCTCGGGGCCGACCTCGAGACAGCTGCAGGTGCAGGGGTGCACAGCAGGGCCGCTGCCTCCATGACTGAACCCTCAACTGCATTGAAATACGAGGAGGCGTCGGGAAAACGACAGTGTGGGCCACATTCCGAATCCCAGTCGCCGTGAAGACCCCTACCCGTGAGTTCGTCAGCAGCTTTAGCGGCAGGTCTTTGACAAGCTCATCCTTGTTCCAACGTATGTACTTCGAGGGAGGAGACGTTTCTTACTCTAGGGCCCATGTAGACGAATGCTGCTACTGGACGATAGTCGCGATAACCTACGAGACTAACAGGAAGCGTAAGTAGAGGATATGCTTTAACCCGTATGACCCTTGCAGGCGTGTGCGCATATACGATCGTATTCCACCCACTCCCCACTGTGTTTCCATGTGCCAGTTAATCCGAGACCTACGACCGAACGTATTCAACGTTTTCAGCCTGTGCATTTCCACAACGTCGATGTCCCTTGTGCTTACTACCCGTCGGAGGACCCCCGTGCTTACTACCAGCCTCCCCAATATGAGGAAGAAGAAGGCGAACAGTAGCGTTAGCATCGAATGTGGTAATGAGTGCCGTGCATTGCGGAATCTGCTGGATCGCCCGTTCGCACCGGTCCCAGAACGTGTCCAAGACTTGGGTTTCAGCCTGGTATATTGGGGCAGTATCCTGACCTTGGGGTACCTTGGGCGGGTCGTTCGTTGGGGCGTACCGATTTAAGATGTACAAGTCCCGGTCCCGGCATCCTCCCCTCCAAAGCCGAATCCCTTGAAGGCGTCCTTGAAGCCAGGCGTGCGTGCACCGAAGTTCTTGGGTCAGAGGAAACCTTGAGATTGTATGCTATGCGACATCCGTCTTTGGCACGCGTCGCTGTTCGGCAAGTCGGGATAATGTGGAACCCCTCGCTAAGCTCCATCAGCGTGATCTGAAAAGAACAGATATCGACGTTTGCACATCTGGCCAGTCTCAATATGGGGCGTTCCAGACAGGGCCTTGCCTTCGAGGATCGAGGCGGAAGGCGGCGGAAGGGCGGCGGAAGGTGGCGGACAAAGTTCGATTGCGCCGACGCTCGAGTTGTTCAGGCTTCCGTAGACAGTGTTACTAGCCCAGCACTAGGCCTCCAGAGTTGTGGACGAGAGGGTGGATTGTGTGTGGAAGGAAAGGATGTGTCCCCAAGAAATGAAAACGTGTTTGGGTTCAGAGTTACCGAAATCCGCCATGTCGATGCCAGGCGATCTGTGACCCGAAGGGACTCAGCGGTCTAGCTCTACATGTTCATCGAGCGTGTCGATCTCTGCCGACAGCGACGCGCACGGACATGATGTGCCGCCACCCCCAGGGAGGTACAAGGTGGAGAACTCCCAGGTAGGTTGGGCAGTTTGGGCTGGCTAGGAGCGCTCGCCTCGCCAACGCACAAGAGCCAAAGATGCCATGGCGCGTCGAGTTGCGTTGGGCATTGCGACCCAGCACGGAAACGGCGACAGGCAGTGGTCCTCGAGCCGTCGAGGCTTGCCGCGGGCTTTCAACCGGCGGGGCCGCCCTCGTTTCATTCCCGCCGCCTTCCGCCGAGGAAGAGATGGCAACTCCTTCGATCCTCGAAGGCAAGGCCACTTTTGGAATGCCTCATGTGTCCGCAGCCCGCGTGGGCGGGGGGGGGCCCAAACCCTGCGGACGCACGGACGACCGACCCTCCCACGTGTACGCGGGGGAGCAACAGCGATGCGGGAATTCTCCCAGGGGCCCATGAGGATGAGAAGGGTGACGAGGAAGAGGTGGAGGAGGAGGATCGGATCGGGATCGGGCTCGTGGAGTTCGCGTGTCAGCTCGACCGAGGCGTGTGAAACCCTGTATCGTGCTACGCATGGAACTCTGAGTGGCGTGGCATTGTGAGACGTCGACCTTCCTTGGCGGCCCCTGCGCTCGGGCAGGGCCGCACTGCCCCATTAGGGGCAACCCCCGCTCGAGGCACGCAGCCGTGGGGGCGCCCCCTGGGGACCGATGAATTACACCTAGCCTCAGGCGCCCCCTCATAAAGGCGAGAAGCCCGTAGCCCCCCCACCCCACTCCCGCAACCCAACAGCACGGAGCCACAAGGGCCAGAGGCCGCACTGCTAGGTCGTGGGGAGGGGAGTGGCAGGGTTACGTGCATCAGGGGGGGCCCAAGAGACGTATACACAGGACGGGGGCCGCTAGGACAGGAGGAGGAGGAGGAGGAGGAGGAGGAGGAGGAGGAGGAGGAGCGGGGGCTTCTCTCTTAGGGGCCCACGGGTAGCGCTTGAGCCGGCTCTTGGGAGCCTCTTGGTGGTTTCTGGGATGCTTCGCGTCTCGGCGGCGTTTCGGGAGTTTCTAGGAGGGCTTTCAGGCTATCGTTGGGGCCTCCTCGAGAGCTTCCCCGGCCGCCTAAGGAGCCTCTTGTGCTATCTTGGAGGCCTCTTGAGAGGTCTCTTGGGCTGCCTTAGGGGGCCTCTTGCGGGCCTCTTGGGCCCTCTTGGGAGCCACTCGGACACCTCGTAGGGGCATCGTGGGTCATCCTGAGAGCGTCTTGACAGGACAGCCCGAAAAGCAAGCGGTCGGAGACCGTCGCCCTCGGAGGCCACGACAGCAGGCACATCTACGGTCGAGCCTCGGATTGAGAAAACTCCGCCCGAGAAGTTGGGCCAGCGTTTTATTGACCAGTGTGTTGGAAAGCTGGAAGCTGACCCAGTTTTTCAGCTCGTTCGCCCCTCAGCGTGAACAGGTAATATGGCCATCTTTTAACAACTTCTGAAAGATGGCCCAGGTTTCTGAGATGATAGTTTTCTTGATCATAATTTCGGCTGTATGTAAATGAAGATATTTCATATTTTTGTGTGCACATTCCGTTCAGCAGCCAGTCCAGTCAGAAGCTCAGTGGCTTCACTCGTGGTTCCACGGGTCGTGCCGCCTGGGCTGATTTTGGGTCGGTTGAAGATTATGTCCTCGAAATTGAACAGTTCGTTAGAGCTCTGATATTTGTTGCCATGGACTTTGATCTGATTCCCGTTCGCCATCTTGATCTCAGGTCGATCGGGTGGATATTACTATCAAAAGGCACTCAGGCGGGATTGGGTGTTGAGTGTCATCTTTAGGATTATTGAAGGCACCGCCTTGGGAGAACACCACGAGCAGGACGATCGGCCATGGATTCTCAGCCTGAGCGGCAAGCCCTCCAAAATGATCCCTTTCATTCTTCAAATGTTACCACCATCCCCGACCTCAAGACAACCCGACCTCCGAACCCTCAAGGAATCCTGAACGAAGGATCCAGGCCCAGGCTCGGCAGACGCTGCCGGCGCCATTGTCAGGCCCGCCCGCAGCCGCCGCACCTCGATGCCACTGGTGGCCAACAGGCACTGCCGAATCCGCCGACCCTGGCGTGTGCGAGGGATTTGTTTGTTCGAGTCGTCGTCTCCGTCAGTCGTCCTCTGCGTCGTCCCCTTTCCCTGCACCCTCCTCAAGCCTGTCGACGAGAGCAAACCTCGCAGTGTCGTCACCGGATCGAAGGGAAGCCCCTTCCCTTTTATCCCTTCCCCGTCGGGGGAGGGGGGCGGTCCCCGGGGGGGGGGGGACTCGGGCGAAACGGCCGCGATGGGTATCCAGAGCGACGATGACTGCGAGGATCCCGTGCAAGGAGCCTTTCACGACGATGCTGGCCGTCACCAGCATGGCAATAGAGTACTTCGTGAGATGAGGGCAGCTGGCTCCACGAAGGCACTCTTGCGGCGGAGGTCATGGTTGTATTCGGAGGCCCAGGCTCTGGGAACCCATCCCACTGGCCGCCACGGGGCGCCCTCGGGCGAGGGACGCAAGGCGATGGGTAAGCGGCCCAAGTCAGGATGGTGCTGAAATCGGCGTCACCCCAACATACTCTAATACTTTGTGTGCGTCGCCCCCCAAGGAGCGACGCGCGCACCGAGAAATCTTGTAGTATATGCTTCGTGGCGGGCGCGTTCTGACCACACCGCTCGGGAAACGATATACTACAAGATGGGTATACTGTATGTTCGGGTCGGACGCGCGCCTTCAAGGAGGACATATAGTACTAGTATGTCCCAATGCGTTCCATGAAAGGATGGAAGCAGGGAATGTGGAGAAAAGGAATGGGGGGAGGTGTGGGAGGAGAGAGAGAGAGAGAGAGTGAGAGAGAGAGAGAGGACGGGATGAGCAGCGTGGGCGAGAGGATGATAGGGGGAGGACGGTTTCGGAGGGCAGAGGAAGCAGCACCCCAAGCTGCGCCGCAGGTACAAGGTGCTCGTCAAGAAGGGCGAGTTCGGGGAGGCACCATTCGGGGGGGGGAGTCCGACGGGGCTGCAAGTAAGCAAGGAAGCCAGGCGCCCAAACGACGCATAGGCAGGAAAAATTGTTCTTTAGCAGTAAGCTCAGGAGAATGTGCAAGGAAGAGGGGGGCGAGGACGCGAGGAAGGAGGGGACAAAGCGCAGACAATCATAATGCTTGTGGGATAACGCATGTTGCCCACTGTAACTTCGGGCGTCCGCATTTGCGCTGTGTCACTGCCTTGGTGTGTTCCCTCCGGGCTCACACGCGAGGTCACGCAGGATTTGACCTTCGGGAAGATGTGTTATCTTATAATGCAACTTGCCTTGCCTTTGTAATACATCGGCGTTTCAAGGGTGCACGCCGGCACGTGTCGTCACCTTTGCATTTGATACTCGTGCTATGCACGCATGAGGGGTCTTCAAAATCTGTCGTAAACAAGCCGCTTGGAAATTGTCCAATATGCTATTGTCTGCTTTGAGTAACCATATCGGTTCCAAAGTGTATAAAAGCTTCGGAAGTAGAATGGCCCTAAACAACTCCAGCGTTCTTCGTTTTGTAATGTTCGCATGGCTCCAGCATTTGCCCAACATGTTGAATACCCTTTTTGCTTCCCCAATTCGCCGGGTCACTTCTGGCTTGCTGTTCACGGTCGTGTTCAGTAGGCCTCCCAGGTATACAGCCTGTTCCACAGTTTGCAGTACCTGTCCATCCGGTGAGAACACAAGGCCGTCGTTGCGTATTCTCATCCTCACCGTTTTGTTCCAATTGAGTTGAAACCCGTATCGTTTGCCTTCTGGAAAATTCTAATCAAGTCCAGCTTGCAATCTCACCGAGCTTGCATTCAGAAAAACAGTGTTGTCCGCGCGCAACAAATCGCCACATACTACGCAGTCCAGCTTCTCAAAATCACTCGCCATAGACTTGTGCATGTGATCGACGTCGAACATCATTACGGTTTGCACAATGATGAACAGGCACGGTGACAGCGGGCATCTTTGCGCAATGCCTGCCCTCTGCTTCTCTTTGTGGATTCCCCAGAGTCTTTCAAATAGTAATCCCTGCTGTCATAAATTGCTTCGATCATATCCACCAGTTGAGCTGGAATCCCAAATCTGGAGAGCACTGAGAACATAGACTTGTGCTTGATCTCGTCGAAACCCGTTGTCAAATCCAATAATATAGCAAGAACACAAGGTTCCTCTGCATCGTATGCAGCATCGAATACACGGCGTGCTATCGTGATTGCGTCTATTGTGCCCCGTGTGGTCTGAAGCCGAGTTGTGTAGATCGGATGCGATCTTTCGCCCCGCCATCTTGAATTCTTGTCTGCAGCATCCAGGCCAATACTTCGTAGCCCCCTGTCAATAACGATATTGGTCGGCAGTTTTCTGGCAAGCTAGCTACCACGTTCGCCGTTTTCCAGTCCGCGGGTATACTTGTTCGCCTCCAGCACTCTGTGCAAAGAGCAAGCAAGGATCCGCATGCGTCTTCAGACGTAGATAGGAATTTCCCAAACTCTGGATATATATATATATATATAAATATATACCATGTGTACCCGTTGCTTCTGAGATTGCCAGTGCTTTTAATGCGCGCATCAGCTCGTCAATTGAAAAATCCGCCATGTTGATGCGTAAATGGTGTTCCAGGGAGTCTTTCCACCAGGCAGCTTGTCAGGAATGCTGATATTCCATTGCTCGGTCTCGAAATAATATGCCAATCTGGTTTATCGTTGGTAGCTCTCCACGGCGTCCCCGTCTTTGTTTTGATTGCAATTGGCGTCTTCGATGGTGTAGTCTTTAGTGCCCGGATGGTTTTCCCCTAGCCAACGAAGATTCCAGCCATGTTGTTTTGTCCCGTCGCATTGTCGTCTTAATTTCCTTATCGAGTTGTGTTTCCTCCCTTGCTCCGTCTGCTCTTGCTTGGTCTCGTTGCGCCAGTAGGGAAATCGTGGCCCCTGAAATCCATGGTCGGTGTCGTCGAGCTTGTCCCCGGACTGCAACTTGTGAAGTTTCATGCGTAGTTTGTGCTACATTCGCCGCTGTATCGTCCACCGATTGTGTTTTCGGTAGCTTGGAATATGAACCAATAAGTGCTTCCCAAAGTTATGTCTCCAATTTTGGTGGTAGCTAGGCAACACACTTGTTTGGGCTCCTTCTGTTGCGTACGCTCGAAGTGCATGTTCAATGTTTGTCAATACCACGAAATTCCTGGTCGGCAATGCTGCAGGGCGATTGCACCGCATCCATGTTGGTAGCGCCCATTAGGCAGAAATCGAGCTGTGCAACATTTTCCTTGAGAAATTTCGCTACTTGCGAGAACACCAGCAGGCTCATAGTATGTGACCTTGTTGATGGTGGTATGTTCAAAGAACGTTTTGCCAATGATGGAGTTTGGTAGCCCTGCACGTTTCTAATAATAATTCTTTATTGGGTTGTGCCAGTCGTTATGGTGGAAACGACTCTTACATATGAACTCCTATAACATCCTCCTCGCTAGCCTCCCGTTTGTAAAGCTGGGCATTGAAATCTCCATAGCCGTCCGTGCATGTATGACGCCTGGGGCGTTTCTGGGCCTTTGTGAAGGATTCGAAGAAAGATTTCCGAAATTCGTAGTCTTTGCCAGCATGAGGGGCGTATCCACATAATATGTTTGCTACGCCACCTCTTGTTTTGAGTTTCAAAGTGACTAGCCTGTCCCCCAGCAGGCAGAATTTGATGACAGATGCAATGGCGGATGGTGCAATGACGAAGACGACGCCTGAATACAATAATCTTGGATGTTCTTCGAAAGTCCTTGATAATATGACCAAATAACCATTCCATCTATAATGGTGAGATTATTTGCGGTGTGTTTATTGCGCGCACAAGATAGCAATATCCAGTTGCACCGTATGGTAAAAGATCTGGACAAACTTCCGATAATATTCGCCCAGCCTTTGCACGTTCCAGGTCGCAATAATTTGGTGTTCCAAGGGTCTGAATGTTTCCTTTTGGCACCCTCACCTTCCTGGAACTATTTGTTTCCAGCGTCCGCTTTCTGAGTGAGAATGCCCCGTGCTGCCGGTGTCTTTGTGTTTACCCAGACTCTCGGCATCTTTGTCCGTGTTGTTTGAGTTACTACCTTCATGTCCAAAGGCTTGTGGACCTAGAGCAGAAAGGTCAGGACGATCAGCAGTTTCAGGATGAGGAGAAACACCTGCACCTGCATTGCTTTGTCCGCTGCCGCGGCCAGAAGTCGATGTAGACGGGGGCACAATAGATGGAGGAGCAGTCCCGACCGAGTTTGGTGAAACAATCGATGGTTTTGGTACGAGGGTAGCGTTGCCCAATCTCGCGCCACTATCGGCATCATACTTCCAAGAGGTATTGCTCTCATGTCCGTCTCCGGTGCCGGATGTTTCCGGCACCCGCCGGAGTCCTTATTTTACCGTTATCTTCTTTTTTGCCTTTGGCGGTTCTTTTCATGCCGCGCCTTGCACGGACCATTAGGTCATCGCATGTTTGTTTGAGGTTTTTCAGTTGGGTATTGTTTTGTAAATCTTTCCCATTCCTTCGTCCATGACTACTCCAAGCCCTGATCGGAGAAGTTTACGGTGATCGCAAATACCCCCCCGAAGAAGACCTGCAGAGGTGAGTTGTCGATGATCTTGATCGTCCACTCCAAGCGCATGGTGTCACGCAAAATGTATTTCAGACCAAAGCAACAATTGCGGCGACACGAAGTGTTGGCGGTCTGTCTTGAGTAGCCTAGATTGTCTTTCCATTAATGGTAGAATCTGCGCTTCTGAATAAGGCTGCTGCGGTGTCTCGTCCAGTCGTGTCTGCGAACTCGACGAACACAATGTTCGAGCACACGCCTTTGCAATAAATTTCTGATGAAGTTGGCCCCTTCATAGTGGCAAGTTCTTGTTCGACCCATTTCGTAGCTTCCGGGAAAGAGTCGATGCGCCCATGTTGCCGATGATTGCCGTGATCTTTCTCTTGTCGTCAATGCTTGTGCTCTTGTATTTTGATTGCAGGCTTCAGGCCGGACCCAGCACACGAACTTGACGTTTAAGGTCCTCGAGTTTCGTGGCCAACGCCACATTTGTCGACAATGTTGATGTAGATTTCGCGGAGGGCGGCCCCGACGGCAGTTCCAGTGCTTCCACCTGAGCACGTAGATCATCTACAGCGGTTTTGATGGGCTGCATCGTCGTCTCGAGGTCGTGGTGTGACACTCCATGTTCTTTAATTGCTGCTATATCTTGTTGAACAGGCCGTAGATGCTGTGCAATGAGCGTGCCGATGGTGGACAAAGTCAACGGTGTCTCGCAGCTTTTACCCTTGCCCTTTATCTTCTTGTTGAACGCCACCAGCTTTGGTGAGGCGTGTTTCATATTGGAGTTGAAGTTCGTTGGCAAAGGATTCGTAGTCAAGTCCGTCCATGTCCTGTAGTGGATTGTGGACCCTGTGTTGCTTTGCTCTCCCGGCTGACGCCAGCGTCGACGGTGAAGCAGACGATTGATGGGCTTTGAACAAGTGCTTGGGAATCCTGGCGCGCGCTTGTCACCATCAGCGGAGAAAACCATGTTTGCCGGATCGAAACGTAGGGGCGAGAGTAGCAGGAGCAGGAAGAATATAGTTGCTGTTGGCAGCTAGCTAGCTAGCTAGCTAGCTTGAGCCAGGATAAGTCCGTTCCAGAGCGTTCCGGAACACTCTCAGAGCATTCAAGAACGCTCTGAGAGAGCCGCGGCGCCTCATACATCCTCCAGAGCCGCTGGATCTCAGATATTCCTGATTTGCAGTCGGCCCAGATTAGTAGGTCGACCCTGCCAAATCAAGGGTACTTATGTGCCCTGTGTGTTCGTGACACATGCTTTCTACATTATTGTGGCAATGTGGCCCTCCGAAAGGTCTTGTGTCCTCTCGCGTGTCCTCTCCAATCAATCCCGACTGTATCCTCACTCGGTTTTATCCTGCGCCTTACTCTTAGGGGGGGGGACTTTGCTCTCTCGCAGCGGCCACTGCCGTCCCAGGTCTGCCCACCCGCGCCCGCGTGGGGCCCCGCGCGCGGTGCCCGGCCGACGCGTGGGTGGGGCCCCCTTGGATGCCACCGAGGGACCATGTCCAGAGAGCGGGAGGACCGGGCCGAACGAAAGGGGGGGATAGGGAAAGGGGGGGGGTACGAAATTTGCTGCATGCAGCTGGTTTCGGTCCCACCGAGGGGCCCATTCCTCGGGAAAATCAGCTACGCGAGCTGATTCTCAAACCCCCCCTTTGTTATCCCCCCCTTTCGCCCGACCCGAGAGGAGAGGGGGGAGGCTTCCATAAATCCTTATTTCTTGGGGATCAAGACAAGGAAGAGAGGGGGCGCAGTCAACCCGCGTACGTAGTAGTAAGGATGGGCAACCTTCCCAAGGGTACCCTTGCATCCTTGCCTCCTCGGTCCATCGTTGGCCACCTTCGTTGGCCGCGCCCCGCTCGAAAAGCTTCGAAATGGGCGTCCAATGCCCTGGCATCCTTATCGCGCATCCTTGCTATACGGGTTGGCTGTAGGGAGCGGCGGCGGGGCGCACGCTTCCTATTCCCGTCATTGTCGTCGTCGTCGTCTTCCGATTCCAGTTCGATTCTGCTTCGGATCCCGCTTTGGATTCCGATTTCTCCGTGGGGGTTTACTAGCCTGCCGATTCCCGTTGATTCGACTTCGCCCGAATCGTCTGCCGATTTCCGCCGATCTGATTCATTTCGATCGCCGATCCGATTTATCGATTCGATTCGAGGTTCTCCCGACTTGCCTCGAGCGGGGTGAAGAGTGGGGGAGGCTTCCATCGATCCT